CCCAAGTCAACCAATCGATTGACTTTGGTACAACCAGCATGTCGGATTTTTAGCATGTGATTATTACCAGAGGCTATATCCACTGTCAGGGCTCTGGGTATGACCAGAGGTGTGTGGACTGACACGGAAACGCAGGCTTCAGGTATAGAGTAAAACAAGACAATTTATTAAAAGACTAAACAACACAAACGCAGTGCAAGGTAAACATAACACAGTGCAAACAACCCAACCTCTAACAGATAACCATATATACAAATCAAACGTAGTCGGGCAGGCCGGGTCGGTAGCAAACGGACAAACAGGGTACCAGGAGCGAGCGGAAGAGTGGTCAGGAATAGGCGAGGTCAGGACAGGCGCAGTTTGTTCAGAGTCAGGATCAAGGCAGGAAGCAGACAGGATGCAGATACAGGGGCTCATGGGAAACATACACCAAGGCACTGATCACAGGCCTGGTACTGCTTAAATACACCTCCTGCAATCAGCCTCAGGTGATGGCCTGATTGCAGGAGTGAGATTCTGGCTGCTGAGAGCACCCGTTGGCCAGCCTTGGTACTGCAGCCCACAAGGCAGGTGAGTCCCACCACCATTGGCGAGTCCATTTCTGACATCCACTAGCAAAAATCATTGTGTTCCCTCAGAAGGGACAGCTCCCCATGCAGCCCCTCCCGCCAGGAGAACACAATAGCTCCGCGGGAAGGATTCCCCCATCAATGCTGATTGTGTTGATGGGGGAATCGAGTAATTTTGTTTTCTGCAACCATGGGAAAATCACATAATCTATGGCTTGTCTCGCTCTTGCTAATTACCAGAAAATAAACCTGTTGTGTGAAGAGATTGTGTACCAAACAGTTTGCAATAGGGAGTGTTTGGTTTTTCAACACCATTCCTAGCACAAAATGACTTTTACTTTATCAATATATATGAGGCTGTTGCCGTATATTGTTTTCAAAGATTCTAGCTAAACTAATTTTGTTTATCAGTTTACCCATTTGACACCCGGCCAATAGCCGTATGGCGTCCGTAAAAATGCACTAGCTTTCCGGGAGACCGCCATTTGGCGTACTCCCGCACATGCGCAGTTCGCGCGCTTGCAGCCATGTACCTCGGACACGGGCGATGACAGATCTGAGTATCGGCCCCGTTGCCCGTACCATGTGACCTGCTGTGACCAATCACAGCAGGTCACATGACAGTTGTATACAATGGATGGCTTCATTCATGCCATCCATTGTATACTAGTGTCTAGCTGTGAATGGTCACAGCTAATCACATGCACATGTCATGTGATTAGCTGTGGCCAAATTACAGCTAAGCACAAAAAAAAAAAACTAAACCCTGAATGAATCGATGTCATTCAGGTAAATGCTTGATTATAGCAAAGTAATTCTTTGCTATAAGCAAATTGTGTAAAAAAATAAATAAATACTGATCACTTCCCCTTCGCTCTGATGAAGTGTATGGACACGATACGCTTCAGGGAAGTGCCCCATACTATTGTACATGTACCACAAGGCCAGCTGTTGAAATGCGGCCTAGCTACAGTTCTGAAAACCAACGTAAGTTGTTTTTATATTTACTATTGATGTTACCCCTGAATAAAGACGTTATTACACTATTTGAGGCCTTCTCTGCGGGCTCTTTATTCCTTTGGGAGCCTGTGTTTTGAAGGTGCTTTGCTGTGGCTGGGAGCTGTGTATGAAAAAAACCCCTCTGGTGGTTGTGACTGACATCTCTGGAGCCTGGATGTTTCACTCAGATGGATGACACCTAGTGGTTACTACACTGATGACACCACTTCTTTCCAGTACTATACATCCTGAGCACCAGGAGCAGGTCTTAAAAGTTCCATGCGCATTACTTTGCGCTATCTGGTTAGTGCAATGTTTGTCTTTTTCCACCACCACGAAAGCCACAAGCCTATGTTATATGACATATTGTGACTATGTGCACATATCACCATAATCATCTCAGCTCATAGAGACTAAGCACTTTATAGAGTTTATATTGGTTCTGTTTTTTCTGACTTTATTGGGGTTTTATTACCCATTCTCACTATCACGAAAGTTACTGATGTATTTTATTACGCACTGTTTGGACTTTATGCACACATTTTGGATTCATTCCGGTTTTATTAATATTCAGTGTGTTTTATTGTGATTCTAAAGTATTTTTATGTTTTTTATGCTATTAGCGCTGCATTTTTATTTTTTATTTACTGTCAGTACTTCAGGATTGATCAATATTCAGATCTATACCATAGTTTGTGAACTCTATAACTGTCCTACAAACTAAAAAATACATCCTAATTTGGGTTATTTTCACCAAAGACATGTAATAGAATACATCTCGGCCTAAATTCATGAAGAACAATTATTTATTTGCAAACTTGTATAACAAACAAAGAAAAACATGTTTTTTTTTCAAAATTTTCTGTCTTTTTTTGTTAATTTAGCTAAAAATAAAAACCCTGGCGATGATTAAATACCACCAAAAGAAAGCTCTAGTTGTGTGAAGAAAATGATAAAATTTTAGTTTGGGTACAGTGTTGCATGACCGCGCAATTGTCATTCAAAGTGAGTGCTGACACCTGAAAAATGGCCTGGGCAGAAAGGTGTAAAATTGCCCAGTATTGAATTGGTTAATTCATTAAGAAGGGCAATTTCTTTTCCATATTGGTTCTGGTGCCATTGTTTACTTTTAAGTTTCATATAAGAGTATGATAATTAAGTGTTCTTGCATGGCAAGACCACTTACTGTTATCTCACATGTATATTCTTATTATTATAGCCAAATTTACCACCCTAACTCCTCCCACAGTTTTTACACTACATAGACAGTAATATACCGAACCGTGCGGATTGTTCCCGATTGGGTGTGCTATTACTTTGTGGAACATTTCGACGAATGGTTCATGAAATATCTGCGTTTTTGTGGTGAAATTGGTCCCATAGGAATGAATGGCAGAATGTTCAAAACTAGAGTGGGAGCTGACAAAAGCTAGAGTGTGAGCTGAAAAATCAGGACATGATTTCTAAACTGCCATCACTCCCTAATTTTCAAGCCCACCTACACAAATCTTATATAAAAACGTTCAGCTATCCCTGCTGTCACTAGAAATATCCACAGCTAAGCCATAGTCCTGAAAGTTTTCACAATCTGACCATTTGTTTGCAACTCATGCTGCCCATTGACATTCATTGAAACTCCACTGTAGCCACCTCAAATTTGAAGGGCAATTTCTAAACTGCGACTGTGCCTTCATTTTTAATATTTCAGAGACATACTATGCATCAAAATGTAGGTCTGGGTCTTATGATTCTCACAATATAAAGCTCTTCGCTGTAGGATTTATAGTTTTTAAAACTCCGACGCCAGTGAAGTGAGCAATTTGGAGCAGTTTGTTTTTAACCGCTCTTCTCTGCCCTATTTGAAATCTAATTTTGAATTCGTGACAGTTTGGCCGGCTTCTGGTTAAAGGTTTGGAAATAAGTTTTCTACAGTAGAGAGTATTTGAGGTGATAATGCTGCTAATGTTTTTATAAATGTATGTTTTAATGTATCTGTGAAGCACTTTGGGCAACAACATTGCAATTAAATGTGCTATATAAATAATTAAAAGTTGAAATGCATTTCTCACTCTATCAAGCTTGCCATGTGCACTTTTTAAATTTGATCAATCAATTGGTTAGTGTAATGTTTACTATCTTTACTCACTCCAAACACTCCACACAGTTACTCTGCCCACTCCATAAAGTTACTCTGCCCAGTCCAACCTTTTCACAGTTACTCCAGCCACTCCAACCACACAACAGTTACTCAAGCCACTCCGCCCAGTTACTCCGCCCACTCCAGTTGTAGACTACTGGTGGAGGCAAGAACACTTCACACAATTTCCCCAGAAATTGTAGATTTTCTAGTTTAACCTGTTAGTGTAAAAACCATTTCTTTCCTATTGTTATTATATTTTGACTTTGTTAGTGGGAGTTGCCTCAATTTAAGCAGCTTCCAGTGTTTTGTTTTCCTGTTATCTGTCAGCCCCAAAATAGGTTCTGTAGATGCAATAAATTTTTGAACTCTGTTCAAAACAAAACAAAAAAAATCTAATAAAATTGGTTGAATTTAGCATCCCCCTTATATTGCCCATGATAAATGTATATTCTTTGTTTTGTTTCATATTTTTTTACAAACGAATATATTTCATGACCTTTGTATGACACATTTTTTTGTTGGCAATTATAGGTAAACAAATTAGAACAAAGTTGTCTCAAGCCTTTAATCATTGGCTTAATGTGCCAGAAGACAAAACACAGGTATTTTCTTTTTCTCCAATTATGTAATGTTCTGATTTATTTTCCTTTATATGAAAGCAAAACATGAGGTTGTCATTAAAAGGTCATTATGGGGTTTTATTTAATTTAAAACTGTTTGTAAAATTTTCAGGAATGTATTAAATCAAATATAGGAAACTATTTTATTCTAAAAAAATGATAAATATATTTTCTAAACGTAAATTACATTGCACAGATAACCTCAAGCCTTTGCTTTGTACTGCATATAGATATGCATATAGAGAACTATACCCCTGTAACGGAAGCGTAGGCAGGACAGAGCACACGGAGAAGATGGGGAACACACAAAACTTTATTGAAGCAACAAAATGACAGACACTCAATGGGGAAATGGCAGGGAGGGTGATGTGTGCGCAAACCAGGGACGATTCCAGGCACGGGGGGTCTTCGGCGACAGGCAAGCAATCTCCCCCCTAGGCTTGGGGCCTCAGCCGAGCTCCCTCCGTGACTGGACAGCGGATTGGAGACGTGGGCAACCTACCCCTGGGCAGGGGTCTCGAGCAACAGGCGGCAACCTACCACTGGGCAGGGGCCTCGGGCAACAGGCGGCAATCTACCCCTGGGCAGGGACCTCGGGCAACAGGCGGCAACCTACCACTGGGCAGGGACCTTGGGCAACAGGCGGCAATCTACCCCTGGGCAGGGACCTCGGGCAACAGGCGGCAACCTACCACTGGGCAAGGGCCTCGGGCAACAGGCGGCAATCTACCCCTGGGCAGGGACCTCAGGCAACAGGCGGCAATCTACCCCTGGGCAGGGGTCTTGGGCAACAGGCGACAACCTACCACTGGGCAGGGGCCTCGGGGACTCAACGGGACTTTAGCTGGGAAGTCTGGCCTCAGCACAGCTCTCACCCAGCTTTCTAGGGACATTGGGTTCACGGGGACTCAACGGGTAGCGATGGCTCAAGCACTCAGGGGTACCACAGGTAGCTATATTCCAGGCACGCTATGGGGCGGTTCAAGTAAGGGTAGTCTAGGCATGTAGTAGGGCAGTGCATAACACAGGCGGTTTTTTCCCAACAGGGACAGTTCAGGACACGGGTGGTCAGTGCACAAACAGCGTGGCAGTTTGGAACACGGGTGGTCGGTGCACACAGCGGGGACAGTTCAGGACACGAGTGATCAGTGCACACACCGGGGACAGTTCAGAACACGGGTGGTCAGTGCACACAGCAGGCACAGTTCAGGACACAGGTGGTCAGTGCACACAGCGGGGCAGTTCGGAACACGGGTGGTTGGTGCACACAGTGGGGATAGTTCAGAACACGGGTGGTCGGTGCACACGGTGGGGATAGTTCAGGACACGAGTGGTCGGTGCACACACCGGGGACAGTTCAGAACACGGGTGATCGGTGCACACAGCAGACACAGTTCAGGACACAGGTGGTCAGTGCACACAGCGGGGACAGTTCAGGACACGGGTGGTCGGTGCACACAGCGGGGACAGTTTAGAACATGGGTGGTCGGTGCACACATCAGGCACAATTCAGGACACAGGTGGTCGGTGCACGCATCAGGCACAATTCAGGACACAGGTGGTCAGTGCGCACAACAGGGACAGTTCAGGACACAGGTGGTCAGTGCGCACAACAGAGACAGTTCAGGACACTCACGGTAAGCAGCTTGCAGACCCTCAGCGGCAGGCGGCTCCAGACAGGGACGACCAGCAGTCGGCGTTCCAGGGACAACCAGCGATCAGCAGACAGCAGCAGCTCCCAGGGCACTCGGCAGCAGACAACCTCCAGGGACACGCAGCCACGGATAGTGTGCAGGGTCCCCCAGCAGTAGCTCCCAGGGCACTCAGCAGCAGACAGGGTGCAAGGGTGCTCAGTAGACAGGCTTACAGTGTCTGGCAGGGTCTCAGCTGTGGGGTCTGACCTTTGAGGAGAAGGCTCATGTTGAGCTGTGGAGACTCCCAACCCTGGGGTATTGCAGAGGGCTACAGTCCTGACCTTTTGGGGGTCTGCAGAGTGCGCAGGGGGGATGGCTAGGGAGGCTCGGCCCCCCTCACCCGAGCCTCCCAGCATCTTCGGGAGCAAGATGATTCCAGCAGCATGGACAGGAACAGAGAGAGAGGGCTGCTTTCTGTGCAAGACTTTTGAAAACCAAGTGGGACGCGGCTAGGTTGCCTCGGCAACGGCCGGCCCAGCATTGTCCATGGAAGCTCCCCGGACATCGGAATGTGCAAAGGGGGAATGGAGGGATATGGCGGGGGATGGGAGAGGCACTGGCAGTCCGTGACAACTCCTCCCCCTTCCATTTTACAAGTGCCCGGCAAGGGGACCTCAACAGGTCTCCTTGGAGGCACTTGTGGGGTGCTATCGCTCTCCATCTTCTTCAGCGCTCTGGTCCTCCACCGCTGCCACCAGTTTAACGGAAGCGTAGGCAGGACAGAGCACACGGAGAAGATGGGGAACACACAAAACTTTATTGAAGCAACAAAATGACAGACACTTAATGGGGAAATGGCAGGGAGGGTGATGTGTGCGCAAACCAGGGACGATTCCAGGCATGGGGGGTCTTCGACAGGCAGGCAATCTCCCCCCTAGGCTTGGGGCCTCAGCCGAGCTCCCTCTGTGACTGGACAGCGGATTGGAGATTCGGGCAACAGGCGGGCAACCTACCCCTGGGCAGGGGTCTCGAGCAACAGGCGCAAAACCTACCAATGGGCAGGGGCCTCGGGCAACAGGCGGCAATCTACCCCTGGGCAGGGACCTCGGGCAACAGGCGGCAACCTACCACTGGGCAGGGACCTCGGGCAACAGGCGGCAACCTACCCCTGAGCAGGGACCTCGGGCAACAGGCGGCAATCTACCCCTGGGCAGGGACCTCTGGCAACAGGCGGCAATCTACCCCTGGCCAGGGGTCTCGAGCAACAGGCGGCAACCTACCACTGGGCAGGGGCCTCGGGCAACAGGCGGGAATCTACCCCTGGGCAGGGACCTCGGGAAACAGGTGGCAATCTACCCCTGGGCAGGGACCTCGGGCAACAGGCGGCAATCTACCCCTGGGCAGGGGTCTCGGGCAACAGGCGACAACCTACCACTGGGCAGGGGCCTCGGGGACTCAACGGGACTTTAGCTGTGAAGTCTGGCCTCAGCACAGCTCCCACCCAGCTTTCTAGGGACATTGGGTTCATGGGGACTCAACGCGTAGCGATGGCCCAAGCACTCAGGGTCACCACAGGTAGCTATACTCCGGGCACGCTATGGGGCGGTTCAAGTAAGGGTACTCTAGGCGTGTAGTAGGGCAGTGCATAACCCAGGCGGTCTGTGCGCACAACAGGGACAGTTCAGGACACGGGTGGTCAGTGCACACAGCGGGGCAGTTCGAAACACGGGTGGTCGGTGCACAAAGCGGGGACAGTTCAGGACACGAGTGGTCGGTGCACACACACCGGGGACAGTTCAGAACACAGGTGGTCAGTGCACACAGCAGGCACAGTTCAGGACACAGGTGGTCAGTGCACACAGCGGGGCAGTTCGGAACACGGGTGGTAGGTGCACACAGCGGGGATAGTTCAGGACACGAGTGGTCGGTGCACACATTGGGGACAGTTCAGAAACACGGGTGATCGGTGCACACAGCAGACACAGTTCAGGACACAGGTGGTCAGTGCGCACAACAGGGACAGTTCAGGACACGGGTGGTCGGTGCACTCAGCGGGGACAGTTCAGAACATGGGTGGTCGGTGCACACAGCGGGACAGTTCAGAACACGGGTGGTCGGTGCACACAGCAGGCACAGTTCAGGACACATGTGGTCAGTGCACACATTGGGGACAGTTCAGGACACAGGTGGTCAGTGCGCACAACAGGGACAGTTCAGGACACCGGTGGTCGGTGCACACAGCGGGGACAGTTCAGAACACGGGTGGTCGGTGCACACAGCGGGGACAGTTCAGAACACGGGTGGTCGGTGCACACAGCAGGGACAGTTCAGAACACGGGTGGTCGGTGTACACACACAGCAGGACACAGGTGGTCAGTGCACACAACAGGGATAGTTCAGGACACAGGTGGTCAGTGCGCACAACAGGGACAGTTCAGGACACTCACAGTAAGCAGCTTGCAGACCCTCAGCGGCAGGTGGCTCCAGACAGGGACGACCAGCATTCGGCGTTCCAGGGACAACCAGTGATCAGCAGACAGCAGCAGCTCCCAGGGCACTCGGCAGCAGACAACCTCCAGGGACACGCAGCCACGGATAGTGTGCAGGGTCCCTCAGCAGTAACTCCCAGGGCACTCAGCAGCAGAGACAGGGTGCAAGGGTACTCAGTAGACAGGCTTACAGGGTCTGGCAGGGTCTCAGCTGTGGGGTCTGACCTTTGAGGAGAAGGCTCATGCAGAGCTGTGGAGACTCCCAACCCTGGGGTATTGCAGAGGGCTACAGTCCTGACCTTTTGGGGGTCTGCAGAGTGCGCAGGGGGGGATGGCTGGGGAGGCTCGGTCCCCCCCTCACCTGAGCCTCTCAGAGAGAGAGGTCTGCTTCCTGTGCGAGACTTTTGAAAATCAAGTGGGACGCGGCTAGGTTGCCTCGGCAACGGCCGGCCCAGCATTGTCCATGGGAAGCTCCCCGGACATCAGAACGTGCAAAGGGGGAAGGGAAGGGAGGGGTGGAGAGATATGGCGGGGGATGGGAGAGGCACTGGCAGTCCGTGACAACCCCTATTTCACGTTCCTCCTATATATATAATTCAGTTAATCCCCAATGTACAAAATATATTAACAGCTATATCTATATAAATAAATTAATAAAAAAGTAGCTGTTCATTCAGAAATCTATTGAGCCGATAGTTTACCATATTCTCTTGCTTCTGGACTGTTAATTAACATTGTTCCCTCTATCTCTATGGACTACAAGCCAGTCCCCCCTTCCCCCCATCCCAGTTGGGAAAGAGGGCGAGTCGTTATGTAGTCCTAGCACAATCCCTGTAAAAGGATTCAACATAATAAAAAATGTAAAACAGAAAACTAATACAGCCACTACATCTATAAGACATGCATGGTGCAGTCCTGTCATATTTCTTGGGAGGAGGGGTTAGATATGCTTTAAATAAGCAAAAATAGGCATGCATTATATCATACAGCAACAATTGTAAAATAATAATAATGCTGAAATGCTTTTCTTCCCTTTGCTTTTATTGCTCTCCTTCACAAATTCAGCCCTTGACCGTTAATTTTAATGTCCTCAGCAGAGCTAAAGACCTCAATAATCATAATTTAGTAAGTTTCTTCATTTTAATTGCCGATCTCCCATGGATTTCCCACAGCGTTCATGAGGTCCAACTGTGGAGTCAACCATGGTTACAGGCTTTCCCATTGGTGTCAGGGCTGCATAGGGGTTTAACTCCTCTTCGGGCATTTGGATGGCACAAGGATTGTACGTTTATTACCCAAAACAGCCATAGACATGAAGAAGAGGACTCATTGGTTGTGTTCTACAGCCATGCCAAGGATGATCTTGTTTATCTGTATAAGGTTTAAAGAACTTACTCAGAGCCTTGCTGCTACATTTATAGTTTTATGTTCTTGACTACTAGATATTGCAGGTTTCTAGGGTACCTCACCTCCGTATATAAACTTATAATGGTTAAGGCTATCATTTGAACTGTATTTATGTTACCTTTGTAATGGCTTTCCTTGGCAAATTTTATATCTGCATATGGTTGTCAGTAGGTTTTTTCTCCATCAATTTCATCAATACAATCCCTTCCTCCCCAATACTGCCAATTACCCCCATCTAGGGAAACCCTGGGTTTTGGCTTGCCCTTTCCAGGGATACTGTTTTTTTTTAATGTTTTTTTTTTTTTACTGGTTTCTTACAACCTCCTAAAAGAGTTAGCCCTTTTTAGGGTATTCCCAACCCTACTTTTTTTCTTCTACAGGTTCGCCCCACCCTTTTTTCTTTTTTTTTCTTGCTTTCCTTTTTTTACACAGGTGGTTCTAGTTTTGGACAGACTTCAGCCAGAGAGGGTAGCATCCCTCAACAACCCACTGTTCTCCTCCTATTCAGAGTTCAGTTATAGAGGGCACTACTACTGTCTATACAACTTAAGAGAAGCCAAGAGTTCTATACAGGATTGTTCTGTGAGACGTTTCTATGAATTCTTACACCC